CGGGGTGCGCACCCCTGTGTGACTCCGGTCCCGTGGCGTCGTGCTGTGCCCTGCCTGTCCTGGGAATCAGCCCGGGAATTAAGTTATTTATGGGAGCAGGGGACTGGCCCCACGTCGCTGTACAGTGCATAGACGGCCCATGTATAAATTGTTCCTTCCCTGAGGGGTAGTAGTTTCCTTCAGGTGATGCCAACAGGACGTTGAAGTGCTTCAGAGATTACTTTGCTGACAGGGAATTTACACTGGGCATATTGGGAGTTATTTTTTTTTTTTCTCATTTCTAAAAATCTAACCCCTTCCAAGGAGTCCAACATGGAAGAGTTTAAAGATGCAAGTTCACCTGAAGAGTTACTTAATCACTTAAAGCTTTCTGATCAGAAGTCTTCAGAGACTGGCCCCAAAGATGCACAGAATCCCCAAAACATTGAAAGTGGATATACACTGTCTTCAGCCAAAGATCCCACAACAGCAGATGAGTGTTTCCATGACTGTCACGATTCCTTTGAGGCAAAAGAACCTCTGCTGGATGATGAAGGGAATCTACAGAATGATGAGAATAGCTCAAGGAAGCAGACAGAACTAGATGAAGAATACTTGCTAGAACTAGAAAAAGATATGCCAGAGGAAGAAAAACAGGTAATCTAAAGTACTAATGTTGAACATAAAAAGATATGTTTTCAGTGTAATATTTCCGAATTATCTGTGATTAGCATGAAAATGGACATTTAAAACTCCCTTATGTGTCTAATTTAACTGTTCTTAATTTCTTCTTTGCCGTAACAAATATTTTTGTTATCTTTCTTTGCTGTACTTAGTCATCACATTCCATTGCGGATTTTTGTCTACTTTCACCAGGTTGTAAGCTTACTGTGACTCAGAGAGGTTATAAGAAACAAAAATCTTCTTGTTTTATGTTATTTAGTTTGCATTCATTGTTTTCATTTGATTAGTTGCAAGATGCTTTTCCAAACCTAAGAGCAGGTTTCAGGATACTTTTCATTTCTGAAAGGCTAGTTTATGTAATGCAGCTAATTGGGATTAAGATCCAAAGTCTGCCCAGAGCTACTTGAACGTCTCTCAGCCTGGAGATTGCACAGCCTCTCTGGGCCCCTGCTCTAGTGTTTAAATACCCTCATGATGGCAATTTTTTCCTTGTATTTATTTAGAATTTCTTTTGTTGCAACTTGTGACCACAGGGCCATCTTTTTTCTGCATGCCTCTTGAAAGAGTCCCTCTCCATTTTCTCTAGCAGTGAGGTCTCCTCAGAGCCACCTTTTCCTCAGGCTGAACAAGTCCCCAGTGTCCTGACCATCTTGGGGACCCTCTGCTGGGGTCCCTCTGGGAAGCTGGTATCTCTTTTTTTGTGCTGGGGAGGAGGCACCAAAACTGGGCACTCATCAAATGCTGAATTTTCTCAGGTGCTGAACAGAGGGCACTAATCACTTCTCGTGACCTACTCACTACACAGAAGCAGCAGCATCACGTTGCCCTTGTGTCTTTTCCAGTACAAAATAATCACTGTTTAAAGCTGGAAACGTTTCCTGATGGAAAGTGTTGAGGCAGCTGCAGTTCTGGTCTTTCTGTAGGTTGATTTCCTGTGAAATTGACTGATCATGGCTTTCAGCTTGGTTGGTGATTATACCTAATGAAATATGGGGACTCCATCTCTGAGTATCACCATAGCTGTTTGGTCAGAAATGTTTCCATTGTGAACTTTGTGTATGTTCCTTAGAGAGCTTTCTCAGTGGTTTATCTAAGCAGTTGTTACAATGTAGCTGCTGGTTATTTCTCTAGTTAAGTATTATTGGTATCTATTACAAGCAGAGCTTGAGAAATCCAGAAATCAGTGATGAAGCAGAAGTTGTAGCTATCACAGTATCCATGTGCATGATCTCACCTTCCATTCTCTGTGTAGTAAAACCATGGGGATGGGTCTTTCCTGAATTGAGACTCCATCTTGCCTCATAGTACTTGGAATTGACAGCTACACATTTTATTTTTTAAAGTGAAACATTCTGTATATTTTGAATATGAAAATAATCTGTTACATGATGCAGCTTTTAAGAAGCAATACTGTAGTTATGGTCTGAAAGCAGCTCCTGTACATCCTTTGTTCAGAGGTTTGCAAACATTTTAAACCTCCTTGCAGTTACTCTAAAGGTCATTTTTTAGAAGAAGGGCAACATGATTTTTAAATTTACTCTTATGTTTTTGGCTTGTAGCTGGAGTAAATGAGGCCAAAATATTCAGAACTTGTTTCTTCGACTGTTCAGGTTGTGAGCAGACAGCAGCAGTGCTGGGGTTACTGCTGAGGGAGGCCTTGATGGGTTCAGTCCCCTGCTGCCTCCTTGTGCCAGCACACCTCTCCGTGTGGATGTGCAGTGAACCAGTTACAGAGAGTGATTCAGATGAAAAATAATGCTTTATTTTTAGATCAAGGGCAGTGCTGGTAAAGTAGACATCAAATGGCAGCCTCGTAATGGCACTATTAGGGTAGATGGATTTTATTCAATTAGACTACTTACCTAAAGAAGAAAAACTTCCTCTGAAGTGTGGTTGCAGCACCAGCCATAAGCTATGAACTGAAGTCAAAAGGAGAGCTGGCTGATGGGCCTCCTCCAATCAAATTTATGAAGCTACATCTTAATAGTATTACTTTTTTGTTGGTGGTTTTTTTGGTTTTTTTTTAACTAAACCAAATGTTATGTTTTAGCAGCTTTAATAAATTAGTTCTTTCGAGCAATGTTCCCCAATAACTAGGCTGTGGAAAAGAAAGTTTCTAATTTATTCTGGAGATGCAGAAACAGATTCTAGTCCTTACTCTGTGTATTTATGCATATCCTATGTGCAGGCTTTTGAAGGTAGCAGCTCCAAGTAAAAATTCTTCCCCATGCAGAAACTGCTGCAGAGATCAAAGAGAAGGAGCAAATGGTTGTGTATTTTCTCAGTTATATTTTGAGAGCCCCATACCATGAGATTTCTAATTCTAAGCCACAGGAATTACTTCCAGGGAAACAGTACTGATATTGTAAGAAGTCTGCTCTGCACAATGAAGCAAAATGAGACATTGAAGGGCTATGAAGACATGAGCCTGCAAGAAGTGTCCTTGAAAGCAGATGCAGGATAGAGCCTGATTACTTGCCTGGACTTGCAACACTGAGCTTTTTTTAGAATGAAGCAGCCAGAGACGAAATTCACTTGTATAAAATTTTGTTTTTGTTTCAAAAGCATGCTGATTGCTGCCTCAGCAGAGGCACTGAGCAGTAAATTGCTTTTGATGCATTACAAACAGATTTTTCTGGTTAGTTGTCATTGACAGTGATGGCTTTGACGGTGGTCTAGTCTGCAGAATTAATCAGAAGACACCCAACAGCTGCTACATGGTAATTGTTTCAGTCTGACCTGGTCGTCTTCTGGAGGGAAACCCATTCATTATGAATTTATCCAGCAGCAAGATTCTGAATCCCTCATGCTTTTCCATCATGACAGATGTTGTCTTGTTCTTTGGGCCTTGTCTGGAAAAGACTTAAGCACTTGGCCTAGTAAGCTCTTATTTTGGGTAGAGAACACTCATTTCTAGCTGCTGTAAGACCCTGGAATAAGTAATATTCCCCAAAAGCAGTTTCCTTCTTTGGGCTGTTGCTTGTGCATGAGAGCTACAGCTGGCTGTAACCATGCTCAGCTTCTATTTTAACACTAGGAAATGTGTCAGCAACACAAGAAACAGAGCTCTTGGGGAGGAGATTCTTGATTAGTGTCTTGTTAGCAACTCTGTAAGAATGAAGTGACATTGATCTTCACAAAATAGTATTTTTGAGTTATACCTGAAGATTTTTTTTCATTTCTGGGCTAAACAGTAAAACTTGCTTATATGGTTTTTTGTTTGTTTTTTTTTTCTTTTCTGTTTTCCCCAGAAGCTCTAGGATGTTTTAGAGAACATTGTCTTAATTAAGACATTTCTGTTAAACTGCTTTCCTACTCACCTTTTCTTCCTTATACTTCTGGTTGATCCCATTGTTCTTCCATAAATTACAGCTTCTGTATAGAATTTGTTTTTCCAGGGGTTGAAAAACTTAGCTGGGATTTCTTCTGAGATGGTTTCTGAGGTATAGTCATTCATTTCAGCATTTGGTGTTTTCTTAGTTTCATCTGTCCGATATAGTATAACCTGGACTCTGTCAAAGTTGCTGATTTTTCTATAGTGTTTACAAAATAAAGGCTAAGGTTCAAAATGGAAGGTGGGATATGGTGAAACAAGTCTATTTTGGAGCAGTCCTCAGGTGTTGATCACTTGGATATGGTCTTAGAACTCTTTCCAGGAAGAATTACGTGGTTGGACCAAATAACCCAGGTTATTAATAGGTGAGACAATCCAACTGGCTATGCAGCAGTAAAACTTATTACATACATTACTGACAAATACCAGTAAGGAATATATTTTTGTTAACAGTTCTCATCAGCATTCAAAAATATTTTGTATAGCAATAAAACTTGCAAGACAATTGGGTTTTGAAGGCATCACAGTGCAGTCTTGTGAAGTATAATAGAAGGTGATCCCTGTATTCAAATTCATTAATAACCTGAATCCTGTAAACAGTACAGCACCAATACTAAATAAGTTATTGCTTGGTCAAACTGGAGAAAAAGATGGATTGCTAGACTAAAACTGCCCTGTCCTGTGGCCTGCAAAATAGAACAAAACATCCTGTTGTATTTTCTGAGTTGATCAAAGCTTGGAGAAGTACATTTGAGAACTTTATCTGTATCTGCTAAAGTACTTGAGTCCAGGTGGTGACAAGAAGAACCTGGATAATGGATTGAAAACAGTCTGGAGGAGAACGACTTGGAGTGGTAGACAAGAAGCTCAACATGAGCCAGCAACATGCACATGCAGCCCAGAAAGCCAACAGTGTCCTGGGCTGCATCAAAAGAAGCATGGCCAGCAGGGCCAGGGAGGTGATTCTGCTCCACTGCTCTGTGTGAGACCTCCACAGTGGCCTTTCCAGTACCTGAAGGGCCTACAGGAAAGTTGTGGAGGGGCTTTTTACAAGGGCTTGTAGTGACAGGACAAAGGTTAATGGATTAAAACTTGAAGAGTGGAGATTTAGGTTAGACATGAAGAGTAAATTCTTTAGTGTGAGGGTGGTGAGACACTGGAACAGGTTGCCCAGGGAAGTTGTGGAAGCCTCATCCCTAGAAGTGTTCAGAGACAGGTTAGATAATGTTCTGAGCAACGTGATCTAGTGGGAGGTGTCTCTGCCCATGCAGGGGGGTTGGAGCTAGATGATCTTTAAGGTTCCTTCCAACCCAAACCATTCAATTATTCTATAGTAACTCAGGAACAGTCACAGTTAGTCTGGCATATGAAGTTAAACTGACTGTCAAGGATGGATGTGACCTGTTGTCTTTGCAAGTGCTGCATACAGTTTCAGGAAGAGGCAGTGATTTGGCAGTAGAAAAGACAAAAGTGTCTTTACCATGGAGTTACAATGAGCAGAGATGGGCCAGAGTCTAGCAATGCTTATTATTTTACCTTTTGAGTGTAGAGGGCAGATTTGACAGTTTTCAAATGACAACTGGCAAGATTTGAAAAAGAATTTTTTGGGTGACTACAACTGAAATTCAAATCCTTGAATGCATAATCCAGCAATAGCTTCACAAAACTGCAGGGGGAAGCAGATGACTACTAATGGATGACTTAGATATAGAATTGGTATTTGAAGCTGAAAAATATATCCCCTATCTGTTTAAATTCCTAGCTTCTGTGCACCCTTTGAACTCCAGTAGTTTTAAATTGACTGCTACTTGGTGACCTTACAGAAGGGTATATGAGATGCAGATGTACATTGACACACTGTATACACAGGAGAGAGGGTAGGCATTTGCTGCTCTTGACAAAACTGGAGCCAAGAAAAATTCCCTTGCAAAGTCAAACCAGTTGATCAAATAAAACGCATAGGAAGGCTAGAGGCAGCTTGGTAGGAAGTGTTACAGATTGGGAGGGTTTGTCCTTCAGTTCTTACCTGCTATATTTAAAGATTACACTTCCAGCACCTTTATTATATTGGTTACTTCCAAAACAAACAGTGTGTGTACGTTGCTTTCTTCCATAATAGTAGAATAATGCTTTAATGCTTTCATTTTGAACCCTGAGTGTTTGACAGAGCTGAAGTTCAGGGACTGAATTTGATGGCTTTCTTTTGAATTGTTATACTTTATTGTCAGAAGGCCAAGCTGCCTTTTCTCATTTCTTCAGGCTTCAGTCTTCAGCACCTCTTGCTTGCCAGACAGGTTTATGTTAAGATCATAATTTATTCAGAATAAGGTCAATTCTAATTCAGTATCCAAATCTGTAAACATTTCTAATCAGATCCTTCAAAAATCGTGCTACTAGTTTAATGTATTTATTTATTTTGGACCTTAAAAAACACTTTTTTTTTTTTACTTTGTACATCAAAAACTAGTGCCTGCCACTTGGAATTTATCATCTTTATGTTAATAGAATTTGCAAACAGCAATCTAAGATTTTGCAGAATTTGAATAGCAGAAAAGAATAATGGACTGTAGGTTGGGGAAGTCATGCCTGACTCCAGTGTCATATATGAGCAGCCTGAGGGAACACAGTGGGTCAAGATATCTTTTCCTCAGGCAGAGCATTCTAGGAGTTCAGTCTGACCTACTTCCCTGGGTGAGGAAAGGGTAGCCTGCCCTCCAGCTACTTACATCTTTTGCTGAAAAATGAGTGGGTGGGGACACTGGAATGACATTGTGCAAAATTTGTCCCAAGGACAAGTCACTTGCAATTTTTTCACTCTGCGCTGATACAGTCACAGTAAACTGATGAGCAGTCAATTTCCACTTGTCCCTGGAAGCTGGAAATTTAGCATACTGAGTGAAGATGTTTTGTCTTCCAAAAGCAGTTTAGTTTTTGGTTGTTCAGTTTTTTTTTACCTTGGATTTGAATAGAAGACAGACTCTTAACAGCATCCATTGGAGCAGTCCTTTCAGGTTAAATGTAAATTCATCCAAAATAGTTGACTTTCCACTGCTTTTGTGTTAGGATTTTCTGTTAAAGAAAGGTATATATGGAGAATAAATTATGTGTTTGTTTCACAAATACACATATGCTTTAGAAGGCAGTGCATTTAGGATATGATGTGCTAAGACCTATGTTAATTTTGTGGAAAAGCCAGAGATTTGCTTTTGGGGATAGTCTGCTATTATGTACTTCAAATACAAATGCAGAGTGATGCATGAGGTACCCTGTAGGCTTCCCATTTTTTAAAAATACTGTGAAAACTGGTACAGTTGGGAACTTAAGGGACAGCTTGAAACTAATACAGGGATATCTTGAAAATGCTGGTCAAGCAATAAAGAAATACTGGTTTTGAACCAGGATTGCATCACTTGCCTTGCTGCTTTCCAGGGAGCTGAGGAAGCTGCAAAACCACATACAGTGTTCTTAACAGTGCTGCTGGCTTCTGAAACATACTTAGGCAACACCTTTTCTGGCCAAATAGGCAGAAGGGACTGCAAGACTGTCACTGGCAATTGTATGTCTGTAACAGTTATGTGACTAATAGTCCTTTATCCTTCAAGTTAGTGCCATTTGATTCCCAGGCAAGAGGACATACCGAGGAACAGGCGCAGGAGAGTTCTGTGAATCATCAGTTTCCCAGTGTGACAGTCTTTAAATTCCTCAGTTGCCCAGAACTTTCATCTGTCCATGTTTCCCCAGAAAACATGGCCATACAGCTTACCTCCACCTTGGTATTTTTCCTGTGCTGTTGAGACTCTGCTTGAGAAGGAATTCCACAATTGAATATTTTTTTTCTTCATTGTACTCTTTTTTTTTTCAGTTAAAGCTTAGTCTTCTGAAGCCTTCTTGCTGCAAATCAGTTTTTATATTTGTATTTAATACTTAACTGGGGTAAACATGTAACATTTTGTAATATTTTTAATAAAATTAAACAAAATCATGATCATACAGGTAAAGCTTTTCATCCAGTATTCCTTGATCTTAGGGTTTCTGCATCAGAACAACTGGGATCATGGTGTAGTTCTCATTTTATAGGAAAAAAAAAAGGTATTTCATTATTGCACAGTTGTAACTTTACCTTATGCAACAGTGAATCAGTTAATGGCACTTACAGCCCAGTTCTAAATAGGTCATGAGCAATGAAGTCAGTAGAGCTAGTGTTTCAAAAGCATTTGCTTTCTTGAGTGAGGGTTGTCTGTGCAAATCTTTCATGTTTTCCAGTAGGATCATCTCCCAACATGTTTTGTGGTGAAATCTGGCTTCTGTGTTTACTGGTTTGCAAATTCTTTCTGTTGTGCTAACATTCACTCTGTATGCATCCAAGATGCTTTAAAAATTTGTTTCTGTGGAGGGCCAGCTGTGCGTGTGGCACTGACCTTGCTGGAGCTCTTCTGTGTGGCTCTTAGAAAGTTTGAGTACAGCTTTCAAATGCAGTTACATACTCCCTGTGCTGAACAGCAGAATCCTGCATGTATACAAAGAATTTGTGCTTTTAAAGCAGCTTGTGTCTTGAGTGCTTAAATTTGTTTATATGCTTGTTATATCTGCTGTGTTGATAATTTAGAAAGCACCAGCTGGCTTGTGTACATGAGTGCAAGTGACATTGTGGAAGGGCTTGTGTAGGTTTGTCAGTCCACCCTGGAGGAAAGCCAGTTTCTAAATAATGGTGCATGTTTTGTCTGACCTATGCTTATTTATTTTTAAATATGAGGAACAATGAGTATTAGAAAATACATTTAATAGGTGAGGGAAAAAAAAATGAGTGATCTAGATGTGCTGAAAAGGTCAGATGATCTTTTACTGTATAATTTTGTGTGTTGCAACTGAATGCCATTCTCCTGGGCCTAGTTTTCAGAGCATTGTGATCTCTTACTAATAAGATGGTGACAGTGGTTGGGTGAATTATTTTTCAAAACCAATAAAAGCAATAGGAGAGAACCTCTGATTTTGTATTGTTTGTCAGCTACTTGGCATAGCTGTGAGATGGTGCAGTGCTCCACAAAGAGTACTATATTTAGCTGTTTCCAAGGAGATGTTCTGTGCGATATTGATAATTGCATTAATCCTTGATTTACACAATCTGCAAGGAGGGAAACTGCTCCTTTTTCTAGCGTTGGCTTTTTAATTGCTCAATGATCTGTAATTTATAGACACCTTGATTTAAGTCCTTTGTGTATGCATGTGTGTTGGGGGCCAAATCAGGGGTCAAATGATCCTTTTTCTACCATAGCAATGATTCCTGAAGGTGAGCACTGTCTCACTTATAGTGCTTTGATTTTACTTGTGTGAGGTATGTCTGCCTGTGAAAGGCTTCCATTGTAAATAGGTTGAAGAGATGGCTTGGTGACATCCTGTGTTTTCTGTGTCAAAGGCTAAGAGCATTCATGTCAACTTCACTTGTGCCAAGAGCACTGTTAAGATATTCATGGTTGAAAACACAACTCCTCTCAGCATGTGCTATTTTCACCCGTGTAACAGAATAATCTTCCTGTCTCTGGGTCTGATGGGTTAGTGACTCTCTGCAGAAGAAATCTTTCAGGGCAGTATTGTCCATAGACTTGTTTCTAATGCAGTCAGCGCAACATGTTTTGTACCTCTCTGAGAGTAACCATGAATTTCTGAGGTGGAATTATTTTAAGCAGAACTTTTGGGACATTACATCTAAAATACATGCTACATAGTTGACCTGCACTGATTGAATTAAATTGAGTTGGAAAGGAAAATCAAACAGCCAGCTAAAAAGATAACACATGTAATTCACTATGAATGCACTTTCTGCATACTGTTGCCCATGAACTGGAGCTTTTTAATTGCCTTCTTATTATACTCCAGTGTTTCATGGATATATAAAGTATATCATGTCACAGAAACTACAAGCCAGTGATCTTGGTGCTAGTTAAAATTCTCCAGGTTATATTTTATTCTGATTTCCATTCATACTTTATTTGGAACTGCAGCTGACCTACTTGTTCATTTCAGTTAAATACTTTGAGACATTGTCTTTTCTTTTGTAGAAAAGAAGAAAGGAGAGCACAACGCTGAAAGAAAAAGGAAATGAGCAGTTCAAGAAAGGAGGTGGGTTGATAATCTTTTAACACTATATGGATGTTAGAGAATCATAAATTCTTAGGCATTATGGTGATGTTGCAGAAACCCATAGAAAGATCTCACACCATCATTCAGATTTATCACATATTATTTTTCATGCAGCTCTAGAGAACAAGGGGATAGCAGGCCTCCTGAGGAGTTAAGTTTAAATCACAAAGACCTGGATTACTAAAGCAGGATTCTTGTGAAAGCTAGTGTTTTAATCCAAGAACATGATACAGAACTGACTGCTTTTCAAATGCCAGGGTTTCTTTTACTAATCAAAAAAGGCTTCCACTAGGCTCCAAGTTTTGCTAATTCACATCCTTAGAATTGATGCAGAGCTTAGTGGCTCAGTAGCTCTCATACCTTTGTATATTTGCATGTTTATTTTTATCCACTGGCTCTGTTACACATTTTATTTATGTGTGTGTGCATATATATACAGATATCTATATATTCATATACACACATGTACTATGTACATCTGTATGTGCTTACATGTATATATATGTGTGTACATGTATGTACCTATATAGACACATATGTGTGTATATATGTTACACACACATAAACACAGGTACATATATGAACAAAAAAATCTAGAGGTATGTAAATGTTTAGTTTATGCCAGAGCTGGACATGTTCTGATCATAGGTAATATGTAACAATGGAGTTGAGTTCAATAATAAATAACTGTACCAATGCTTTTAATTAAAAAACATAAAGGGGAAGATGATTTTGACATCTACCTTTCATTTAATCTTCTGGTGGGTAGAGGATTCACAGAGAAACCAGGAAATGCAGATTTGTACTTTCCTCAGTCAGCAGGGACACAGACACGTAAATTCCTCTTCCCAGAAGTATACTCTGATAACCAGTATCCACCCTGTTGGAGGTCTCCAATTGTCTGCTGAGAGAGCAAAATTCCTGGAGAATGATGTACCAGTTCAGGCAAGCATCAGAGCAGGCAGCAGGGAACAGCTCAGACCATGAAAGCAGCAAGCCTGTATTGTTGGCTTCTTCATCTTGTGAATTCTCACCCATAGCCTCTTCTTGACAAATTCTTTGGGAGATCTTTTTGGTGTGTCTGCCCTTGCCAAAGTGCTTAGTATTAAGAAATGCACAACCTTTTAAGCACCTGGATGGTCATGAACTATTGTGCACAGAAGGAGCTGCTCTATTCCACAGACAGTGCTCTTGTCAGGTGTCAGGGCATTGTTCAGTCAGCACAGGGCCTTGTCGCTCCTGACTCTGCCTTTATTAGAGAATCAGTAACTTGATCATCCCATGTCGTTTACCACTGGTCCTGGCTGTAGAGCAGACTTGATGACAGATGTCCTTGGGGGTGCTAATGGGTTTGTGGTGACTGACTCTTCAAGTCAGTCATTGGAGATGATATGGCAAAATATCTCTGTAGCTGCTTTGAACAGGTGTCAGGTCAGTGTTTCAGCACATACTTCCTTTCAGATCAAGGATACTTTTTATCTAAAGAGATTGTGCCTCTAAGACCAGTGCTCAAATAGAACAAAATAATTTCAGGGATGAGAATTTTATGCATCTCATGCTGCACTTGTTGCATTACGCTTAGGACTGTATTTCTGCTTCTACAAGGGTGTTGATTTTAAAATAATTGTCATTGATCTGTGTACTACTTAATAATGGACTTTGTCTGGAAGCAGCTACTGATTCTGCTTTAACATTACATCATATACTGAGAAATGTTTCTAAAGAAGTCTTAGCCATGTGTTCACTGACTGTACTGGCATTTGAAACAAATATCTGGTTTTGGTTTTTTGCTATTGTATCTGCAGACTATGGAGAAGCAGAAGACTCTTACACGAAGGCTCTGCAGATCTGTCCAGCTTGCTTCCAAAAAGATAGGTCTGTTTTATTTTCAAACAGAGCTGCTGCAAAAATGAAACAGGTGAATATTCTTCTTGTTTTACAAAACACCATGCATTGATTATATGACAAAATTTAGTAATGAAGTCATTAGGGTTGCATAAAGGAGGGCAAAGTAATAAAGCTGTGTGCAGGTTTTGCTGCTTGCTCAGTCTGTCCTGCTCCCAGGAGAAATGCTGGTGTGCTTGGTTTTCCTGAGGATGAATGCAAACCTGAACGTTGCAATTGGAACAGCTGTTCAGAGTTGCTCTGCTGCATGTTTAAAACACTGATTTTTCTTTCATTCTCTCTATTTTAATGTTTAGTGCATGCAGACCATGTGTTACATTGTTGAGAATTGTAACTAGTTAGTGTTTTTTCGAAAAGCCTTGATTGCCATATACTTGTTTTCATTTAATTGGCTCAAATGCTCTTCGGCATAAGCAGGTCTTCCCTAACTGTGTCTTTAATGTTGCAGTTAATCTCTCCCTTCACTGTTGCTATATAGTAGGATGGACCTATGTAGTCAGGCATGATGTGGATAGAATGGCTGCAGCTTTCTTCCTGTGTTTTCTATTCCTTGATCAGGGACAAGTGCCCAGATGTTACCAGAATCAGCAATGCACTTGGGTAGTATGGAAGGCACAGAACACAATCTGTCTGAACAAAAATTTTCAGTTACTTAGAAAGAGAAGATACTAAAAACTGAGGAGAAAATACTCGCTTTTTTGCCTTTATGATTAAATTACTACAGAAAAGTAGCACAGTAACTCCTATCCTTAGTTTACCCTCCTGCAAAGGAAACTTCTCTGCAGTTTTCCTCCAGTATTGAAACAAATGCAGCTCTGTTTAGAAATGTACCTTGCAGCTATGTTTAGACATAAATAAATACATTCTTACTCAGCATAGAGTATGCTTGTTCAGCTAGAATTAACTAACTTGCTGTTGGGATACTGAATTGTTTGAGCAGACAAGAGAAAAAATGAAATAAAATATGAAATAACAGATACTGGAACATCTCAAATATGAAAGCTGTGGACTGAAAAACCTTGTAATCGTGATGTTAACTATTCATATGACCAGGAAACTAATAGATTAGTGCCCAAAGGAGCCCAAGATGATCAAAGAACTGTTCACAAACTAGTGTATCTCACCAGAATAGATCAGTGGAACCTAACAGACCAATAGATCGGTCTGAAATATAAATAAATCTGAAAATAGATTTGTATTATTAACAACCTCCCTGCTCCGCTTGTTCTTCCATACATGCTGCACTCACTTGCTTTGCACTACAATAAAGGCTTGTGAGGCAATCTTCTGTGAGGCAGCTTCTGTTTTGTGGAGGAGAGAATCATTCCTTGGGTATAGAAAGATTACTACTACTTGGAGCAACAATACAAGCACTGATTGATTGATTTTAATTTTATTTTTTTTTAAGCCTTTTTAGTTTGGCTGAAAATAGGATCTGTGTCTCAGCTCTTGCTTTTTCTCTTGTTTCAGTGTAAGCAGATTCCCTAGATCCCATCTTCTAACGATGGTTGTCAGGGCACAGTAAAATCTTGCCCTACACCTTCTGGAAGTTTCATGCATTGTCCTTGTAGAGAAATCTTATTAGTGCTAATGGCAGTATCTGCTTCCCAAAAGTCTTAGCTCCCACAAACAAAAATTTTTCTGGGACCCTTTAGAACAGTCTATTTGAACCCCTTAATTGTTTGACACAGGTAGCAAAGCTGCAGGTGGGTTAAGGCAAGGCCTGCAGATGAGTCAGCTGTTGGCAGCCTGCTGCTGGGGTTGGGTGCAGGCCCAGGAGCAGGGCAGCTTCCACTGAGGGGAACCTAATCACTGATAAAGAGCTTTACATCAGAGGTAGGGGTATGAAAAGCCTTGATTACATGAACATCCAGTTCCTCAAAATGCCAGACAAACCTTTTTGCTTGCAATTGTAAATAATCTGATTCCCAAGAAATATAACAAAAATACAACAAAACTGTTTTGTGTTCTAGGACAAGACAGAAGCTGCCCTCAGTGACTGCAGCAAAGGTATGACTTTTTTTTCTATGTGCTGCTCTTGTGCCAGGCCTTTCATGCATAAATTATGCCATTTAGTGGCTTACTGCAGAGCTGTAATTTTGGGCATAAAAGTCTTCAAAGAATTTGAAGAAAAGTTGTGATGGAAGACACCTGAATTTAAAATTATTTATATTATTTATTTTGTAACATGTCTCTCAAACTGTACCTGTCTATAATAATTTACTTTCTATTCTCTTGTGCTAATAAGGCTGCTGTTTGTACCTTTCAATAGGAAAATCTTTTTATTATGGAAGCAGTTTCCTTATGCCTACTTTTTAAACCCACTTCCACCTGCCATTCCCCCCCCAAAAAATCTTGATTTAATCCCAGATTCCAAAGAACTGTGAGGCCTTGTAGAACTAAATGCATTAACAAGTCCCTTTTATGCAAGGCTTTTGCTTTGTCACAAGGGCTTATGCTCCTGCTCTTGTCCTGCATGGTGTTCTCTCTGCAATTTCTGGTGAAATAATTTCAGCTGTGCACTGCTTTATTGCTTCCACCCACTCACCCATGATCCAATATTTGTTAAACTCCCCATGACAGCTGGGGCAGAAAGTCCAAATTGCCAGTCAGAAAACAAATCCAACTGCTGTTGTGCCAGTACTGCTTGTATGGTAAATAAGAGTTTCTACATGCTAAAAGGATTTTTGAAGGTAGCAAATTCTAGCTGGCCTCAGTCACTTTGGGGGTTTGCCTTTTTTTGGTGGTGGTGCATTTTGAAAAACATTTCTGCTAATTTTGTAGTGCCTGAAAGGGAATCGTTCTGCTTTGCTGCAGTGAGAATCAAACCTGCCATCACTTGACACTCCCCAGGGACTTGGCTTACAAACTGCAATGCAACACTTGGAGAACAGCAGAGCAATTCACACTAACCTGCAACTTGCTGATTGTAGCATTGTCTTTGTCCTTCCAGAAGAAATAAACTAGAATATTTAGCTGGATAATCCTAGATTTAATTGTCCCAAGAACCATTTTAATGGGTTAATAATTAGAAAATGGGCAGTTTTGTATACTCCCTCTTTCTATGATGAAAAATGGATGAAGAAATCATTAAGAAATTACCACTGACAGATTATTATTAATTGCATCTCTAAGTTGTTAGGGTCATCATAAGGAGAGGACAAGCTTTAATTCAGTCAATATGTCTCTTTGCTAACTTGTAGAGCTTATATAACTATGGATTCCTAACCCAATTTTGACTGATATTAAATTCAGAAGAACACAGGTAGTTTTGGAGTTTGTCTCAACTTGAACTGAGATAAGCAGGGAAATGCTTTTTCCCTGCTATGTTTAGGTATATTTAACTTTAGCTGTAATCTAATAAGGTACACTTATTATTAATCTTTTGTATAATTAATGTCTTATAGGTCCTTACCATTTCTGAAGTGTCACTTAGAAGCTCTTCATGTATAGTATTGCAAAATTAAATGTTTATGCCTTATAAATCACTTCTGCCTGTGATAGAATGGAGGCATTAACTGAAATGTGATCATATGCATTAGACTTTCACAGGCAGATGTATGCCTTTCTGAATAATGACTTAGCTTTTAAACTGTGAGTCTTCTTGATTCTAAACTACATTATAAAGATAACTATTAACAATTTAATACACACTTAAGAATTCATTTGAAAGGGTATAGAAGGGTTTCAGGTAAAATGCTGTGCTTTGTTTTTGTTTTCTAGCAGTGGAATTGGATCCTAACTATATTAGAGCTTTGCTGAGGAGAGCAGAATTATATGAAAAAACAGAAAAACTAGATGAAGCTCTGGAGGATTATAAGGCAATCCTAGAAAAAGACCCATCAGTTCATCAAGCCAGAGAAGCTTGCATGGTAAGCCTTTTTAGTACACTTTGGCCTAACTTTAAATCAAGTTATTTTCTCTCCTATTCTAAATATTTAATGCTGTTTATGAAGGTAGCTTCATATGCAGTGGTGATAACTTTTTTCCAAGTCTGAAAGTGAAGTGGTTTTCTCATCTGGTTTCATGAAAGGAAGACTACCACTACTTCCATGACAATCCTCAGGTCCATAAGGCATAGTCCTCTTTTTACCTTTGTAAAATGAAGGAAAGTAAACGTGTGTTCTGAGCTGTAAGCATCTAATTACATGTTCAGCCGTGGAAAGTGCACACACACTTCACTCTTTTAATTGTATTTCTCCACGTGCTAGAAAAGGTTGCCTGAACCACTGCTGCAGTTTAGTAGCCATCATTTCCATACAGATCTGCAATTTGGAAATCAGAATTGCAGGCACCCTATAACACAGTTCTTGCTTGCTGTTTCATCACTGGGTCTCTGGTTTTCTTTTGGAAGAATTATTTTTCTGATTGGTAAATTTGCAGTCAAATGCCTTTATGGCATAATTATAATTATTTTTTTTATGATATGATCATATAACTTTGAGAAAGGCAGAGAGACAGGATTCTGTCAGTCTGTATCCATGCTTGTATCTACTTTAAAGTGTTGATATTTTTGTTTATTGATTTAGCAGTTTACTGTTCCTATTCTTTGCCATACCTTCTGTGCATATTGGCCACTTGGAGTTATTTTACTAATATTGACAGAAGTCTGCTATTAATCGTCAAAAACTTAGCTTTTCGCTTGAAGAAAAAGGCACCTCGTGGTTGCAAACAGCAACCTCTCCTAACTCAGTTGCTTTCTTTGTTCTAAACAAAAAAAAAAGCTTTTGCAGACTAGTGCTGTGTTCCAATGTCCACTTTAAATCAAATTACAAATACTTCAGGATTAAAAATGACTTGCAGAATCTTTGCCATATCTCTTGTAAGTCTAAGGAAATGCTTTCCTTGGCCTTTAGGATGTGTCAGCTTAGATGAAAAAAGGTAAACCCTTAGCACTTCCTGAAACCCCAAGCTAACATGTAAATAATCCCTACTTAATGGGAATTTAAAGTCACTGCCACAGCCTGCTGATTTGGTGTTTTAAGTAACTCTTTGTGTAAAATACTATCAGGAAGTGATTTTTCTACAGATAGTTAGTGTGTTAATGCCCAGTGTGGAAAAAAGCTGCGGATTTGACAAGTTCAGAGGGTCTTTTCACAAGGGTAGCAAGAAGGGAAATGTATTTTGTATAGAAAGCTCCTCTTACAGGCTGCTTGCTGTTCTTCTTTTTAAAAAGATGTTATGAAGGCTGTGTTGAAAGGATACCTGTGGTAGATATGTAACCAGACAGCCTGTGGTTTTGAAGGAACATGTACTAATGAAAGGTAGCCATCAGAAAAAGTAATCACTTTTTATCAAAATGGGAACTTCAGGTCATGGAGCTTCAGGAATCATTTGCAAGCATCAGAGAGCCTGGAAAGAGCTGACCACCTTCTGCAGGGAAAATAACAGTAGAACTATTCTTTACTTTAATTTTAAGGTAAATGGATGCAATTTGAAAACATTCTTAGTTGGGTACCCAAATCCATATGCCAATACTTGACTTTTTCTGTACGTGGTCAGATTTTCAGAGCATCATTATTTTAGTTCAGCTTCACATCAGTGAACATGCAACATATTTTGCCCCATAAGGAAAAAAAAAATAATTTGCTTCACCTACAGAATTATCTCTAAAACCATTTTGAATATGTTGATGCAGAAGTATTTCTGAAAGGCTTAGGTTTAATTGTTTTAACTCTCCATTTGGGAAAATGAATCATTAGTAGTGATTCCCCCTGCTGCCTTTTCCCCATACTATGGTGTTGTAAATGACAGACTAGAAGCTGCTTTTATAGCATATTAGACAAGAAGCCTTGCCTGAAATTACTTCCTTTGGGACTGGATCAGTTGCACTGACAGCAGAAAAATATTCTACTTAACTGTGTAACTCCTGTAAGGGTTTCCCAAAACAGCTAAGTTGATCCGCTAACTGTCTGCTGCTTATGAAGCTGCCCAGTTGCTTTCCTTGTGCTAGCACTAGTAGTAGCTCATGTCCAGCCCTAGGGGATGGCTGGTTCTCTGTATGAGTCTGGCAGACAAAGAGCTCTAGAGGCTAAAGAGAAAAACAGCAACAAGCAAGCAAAAAAAACCAGGAACCAAAAAGCCCCAAAGTAAATACTTGTATATTGCCTTGGCTTTTTGCAGTCAGACAAGTCCTACTGCAAATGCTAGTGAGAAGGAAAGAAGATGTGGTCAAGGCAGTGCAGGAATTGGGGCCACCCCTTTTGGCAGCACCCACTGACAAGGTCAGTTTTACTGTACTGTGAACCAACCACTTCATGCTGGTGACATGCATCTGGTTGAGAGCAGGGGAGCACTTTATCACCTAGCTCTTGGCAATGCTTAATAAATGACAGGCTTGTCAAGCATCATTACTGCATGGGTAGTGAATGTGATGGGTCCATCACAGGCTAGAAAAGAGTATTTGTGTTGGCCTTGTTTATAGTCTTCTAGCTGAGACTATGGCTTATTTGATCCAGGAATTCAGCCAAGGACTCTGCTGACATTTCTAAAGGAAATGAGGGTGTTTATTTTCTGTAGTCTTTTAGCATTACACTAGCTCCAGAGTGAGGCCTGGTGCAATCCAGCCCATTACTTGGTAAAATTGTGTTAGTGTATAAGGACTGCATTCCAGCAGCTCATCGTACAAACAACAGCTGTGAAGAGCAGACAGATTGTTTTGAACCACCAGTCAGGACTCCACAGATTAAGACTTGAGAACACTGTCAGTAGCTGGTACAAAGTGTAAGGAATTGAAAATGGGTGTTTTGGCTGATTGGAACCCCCTGAAAGCATAGATAAGGACTGTCCTTTACACCTCTGGCAAAACCACAGGTTTCTTTCAATGAGTATACCTCTAATCATATCACAAAAGAGCCCTTGCTCAATAACCACTGAAAATTTGGGCTAGAAGAGAATCATAAACAGTGCTGCTGTTCTTCCTGGCCATCTTTCAAAAATTATTTAGAACAATCAGTAATTTATTCTTGATTTTTGTAGCTGGGAAGTACAGACATTGACTGTTACATATACCTTCTGCTCCTTGACCTCATTTTACTAGGCAGAGGCTTTAGGCTCACATGTGGTGCAGAACACTTTGTACAAAATACCCTCAATTTACACTGCAGTGGGATTTAGGACATTCTGCCCTGAGTTAGTCCTGTTCTTTGTCAAGTTTCAGGGTAGAAGCAATCTTTTGAGACTGACACCTGAAGCTCCTCTCTTGAAAAATTGTTAGGGAAATATTGACAGCTAGTTCTACATTTTTAAAAATATTCATAATAAATCTCTAAATGTTGTAATACAAAAACAATTCCAGCTGTAAAGTTGACTCCACATATGTGTTTAACATATTGAATGTGTAGGAGACCAAGAAGCTTTGCTTTATTGTAAGGTAATTTTTTTTTTTGCAGAAGTACTGCAGCATTTTTTCCCCCTCGCTGGCAATGAAATTGATGTATCAAGAGAATCTGCAAATTAGCTCCATTCACTGCTAGAGCAAATCTTTGTCCTTCCTCTACACAGAAAATATTTCATGTACTGCTTTAGGGAATGTCATGATGTTGTTAAATGACAGCTTAAAAATATTAAATACAGTAGTTCTTAGATTTGATTCTTCATTTGATAGCTGATCTAAAATTTCAGTACTTTTATATTTCAGGAGTAACATACTAGTGTTTGATTTCAATCCTACTGTCACACTGCAGTTACTTTTGAAATCTTCAATGTCAAATTAAACAGTTTGAAATTACAATGTTTTGTGGTCAAATAATTCCTACTGATGCTTTTCCAGAAAGTGCTTAATTATATGGTATCAATCTTTGGGTTTTTTTTTTTAGCAGATGTGTAACAGTGTTGTGTGGATTTTAGCTTCAACTCAGTTTTGAGGTACTGACAAACCAGATAAAGTTATTTACCAAAAGAAGCTGCACTTGGAGATAAATATCATAGACACCTGATAAACATCTGTCCTTATGGACATCTTTCTATTGATAACTAACCTTGCAGATACATTTCTGGAGTAAGAAATGCTGAGTCATTGGAATAGTAGTATTCAGAAGCTGTAATACATTGAGTATGTATTTCAGATCAAGGATTTGTGTCTTCATTTCCTGCGAAAGCCTAATGTCCAAATGGGAGGGGCACATGGTATATATGTTAAACTTGTCCAAGACTCAGCAGACCTCACAGCTACAATGCAAACTGAATTTAGAACCAGGGGTTATCCACACATGTTTTCATGCAGCCAGCTTAGGTCCAGATCTGCACCTGACTAAAAAGCCCCTCTGGGTCAGCAGGAGTCAGATTCATCTACGTCTGACATTAGATTTGGTTCACTAGTAGTGATGCTGGGCCTGGGCTGGTTTCAAGCATATCTGCATTCTGTTCCTTAGTACTTGTTTTCCTGTTGGGGTTTTTTTTCTGAGATATGCCATCTAACTTCCCCACCACTATAGAAACTGAACTGTATTTGCCTGTGCTCACCAGTGTATCCTGCATTGGAGAGGAACAGCCAGCAGCCTTTTCAATAGGCTTTTCCTTGAGATGAACATCTTATTTCACTGTGGCAATGGTATCAGGATGACAAACCTATCCATGATGACTGGAGCTGTAAATGACAGGAAGGAGCACGATTAGGAAATTAATTCTTTAACTAGGTTGAGAAGCCAATTATCACAAGGGAAGTGTATCAGAAGTGAATTCCACACCTGTTACCATAGTCTGCAACTGTAATTAATTTACTGATAGCACCAGTACAGCAGATCTGTCTTATTTGCCATGACCTGCAGAAGAAGAGACAGCAGAGTTATACATATGTTTGCATGCTGAACTGCCAGAATTCTGCAGTAATAAGCATAGTATAAAAGCTTGAAATAGTGCTTCTGAAAAATATCTTTAAATACGTATAAAAAGTGACTGTCAGTTTTAATATCTTGTATTTAACTGACATAGAAAATACAAGATTTAAATGATACAGTGATAAATTTAGTTGTAGTGACCTATTATAAAAGTTCTAATTAAAAATTATCATTACAGCCATACAGCAAAACACCAGAACTGTATAAGGTTGGAATATGAGTCACAGCTGTTCTAGGCATAAATGGGAATCTGAAATCATTAGGAATGCACAGACCATGCAGTTATGCAATGCTTATTAGAAACATGTGATAAGTTTGTCTGTGATGGTGCAACAGATTTTAACACTGGTGCCAGTTCTGGGAAGAAAAAAAGCACATGAAGAACTGTTACTTGGAGCAGTACCTTGCTCAGAATGAACTGTTGGAGTTCCCTCCCCATTATGAGCTGCCAAGTCAAGGCCCTCGTGTGTAATACCCTCTCCTCCTTATGCCATCTATAGTGTAATGAGAGCCTGCTCATTAAACTGTGTCCTGAAGTTCAAAGACAATTAATTCAGTGATTTTCTGTTAAAATGTTTGTATTTAGATCTTAATGTTTTCACAGTGTGGATTTCCCTGAAGTGGGATGCCACTGAGAACTGTGTGGATGTTTTCCTTAGTACACTTGTATTTATATTTGGAAGTGCTGTGCTTGCTTAGTTCCTCTAGCCTCTCTGACAAAATGTAATGCATCCAGCAGAGGAAACAGGGCTAAAATATACTCAAGTTATAAGTCTCTGAGATTCCATAAGCTTTTCAGTTAAAAATCCAAGCAAACAGATCTGATCTGTTTTTCAGAAGTGAAAATGTGTGTCTGTCTCAACCCTGCACTTCTAAGTTTATGGGAGGGGATGTCACAGGATGAATTACAGGTTTCCAAAATAAGATGTGTGGTTTGACATAAGGATTCCTCATAAGCCATAAACATTGTATCCTGGGTATGTGTATGAAAATTCCATCAGTTTAACCTACAGTCTTATTGAAAGCAGGGGTCTGATTCCAATTTTTCTCTCTCTCCACAGCGATTGCCGAGACAAATTGAAGAGCGGAATGAAAAATTAAAGAAAGAAATGTTAGGTAAGTAGCACGTGCATATAACATGCACAGTAACCTTCATAGTCTATTAGAAAAATAAAAATGCATGAGCAGAATCTCTTGAATAAAATTCAAAGGTAAATCTTAAACAAAGTACTTGCTCTGTATTAAACACAGCTTCTGATTTTCTTGCCGTTCTCTATTGCTTTGTTTCACCTGCAGTAAGTTCCAGGCAAATAATTCTGCCATAGAGGAAAAAGCTCTTACGTTAACTTTAAAGAAAGAATACACAAAACATTCTAAAACAATTTAATATTGATGCCTTTAAAAGCAGGGGCAAATGGTTTGAAACAGACCAGCTGCTCTTCCATTTCTCTCTGCAAGTTACCCTTCAAAGGAAACATTTCCATGAAAGGGTTTTCACTAAACCTTTACGTAAAAGAAGTCGACCAGCTGCAGTAACTGAGCAGGTTTGATCTTGTGTCTGAAAAAAATAGACTTGGTTCTTTTGTAGCACTTCTAACCCATAGACCTCCAAGTCTTCATGTTTACCTTTATTTATATAGTATTTCAGTTCTGTTTGTGTGGAGGCTGAATTAGACCTCCTGAGTGTTACAAACAGGCATCTGGTCTTGCTAGGAGTGGAATTACATTTTCTCACTGCTTGACTTTTTACAATTCCATACCAAGAATACTATTGACTCTATTTGTTTGTAGAAAGGATCATGTAATTAATATAACTCATTTGAATGTATGTGCCCCATCATCACGTTGTATAGTATTGATTGGGTGATATTCTTAACTGTATTGTTGTATTTCAGAAGGATAACTACTTAAATAAGATGCCCAAGCAAGATTGGTTTCCATGTGTACTACTAAATTTAAAGCATTTCCCTGCATCACTCACAGTGTTACAGTTAAACTAGCAGTTTTGGGAGGAACCTCCTGCCCATAAATGACTGCTGTCAAACTTGTCTGCCATATCCTAGTTAATAAGGTTTGTTAATTCTTACATGTTCAGACACTACTTAAGCCAATCTGATAATCTGGTGCTTTTTAAAATTAGTTTTTATTTGTATATAAACTTTTCATTTGTACTGTTAAGAAAATACTCACAAAAGAGCAAGGACAAATGGCAGTGTAAGATAAAAAGAAACTCAACTGTACCTAATCAGGGTCAGAAATAGCTTTCAACAGTTATCTGATCATTCACTCTAGTTATGACAAGTAGTAGGTTAAATGCTATTTTAAGATGAGTAGGTTTTGAAGGTTTGGGATGGGAAAGGAAAAGACTGTTTTGCTGTTCTGCAGAGAATTATGTTAAATAAACTCAGACTGTCTTGCATCCCGATACACCAATTCTTAACATATTTGGGAAGAGACTGTTGCAAGGGCCTATGGTAAAGCTGATATTTTTCTTATTTGTTTACTTGCTGTGTAGGGAGTCTGATTTGCTCTTGCTTTGTACTTGTTTTGACCTAGTAGAGTTTCAGTGAGGCTTTATAAAGCTTTACATCATCAAATTCTGTTTCCACTATTGTACTTAGAACAATAAATAAAGAAGGTTAAGTGTGATAGTGCTATAAATAAATTAGAAATCCAGAAAATCTCTAGAATAACCATGCTTATTTGTAGGACATGGGATGTGTTCCAACACAAAGTAATATGAAAACAATTCCTGATCTTTTTTTGAACACTCCATTTGTTCCATTGTTACCAATGTCTAAAGGGCCTCACTAATCACGAGGGGCTAGACCGAAACAATAAATCCAGCTTTTATAAACTGCCTTTACAAACCTACTTCTATACTGCTAATTTTTGCCCGGATTTCAGTCTAGATGTAATCTTTTCAAAAAGGGTGATTCCATTTGCAGTTGAGATTTCAGAACTGAACAGCCCTTTCAGGAACCAGTCAGGCTGTTTATATTGGGATTCTCAAGAAAGAATCCCTTCTCACTGATGTTACATACAAGGAGACATGCTGATGTTTACTGATGTAAACAGCCAGAAAAAACATACTAGGAGTGGGGGTAGGACAGCACATAACCCCATGTTCATCCACAACCTTTGCATGTGACAGGATTAATACAAATTGTCACATACGTTGTTAGAATTATTTGGTGTCAGTTGGGCAGGTGGTATTTTATTCTTAGCACTGCTCGTGCTCACTAGGGTAACACAAATGGAAGATTTTTTCTATAATACATTCTCTTAGTAGAACACTTGAAATTAAGCTAGTCATATGGACATTACCCAGACTCAATTTTTTAAGTATTTTAAAATTCCTCATATCTTGTTGAGTAGAGAGATGGCAATGGTGTCATAGATCTGATGCTGGAAGGCTGAAAAGGAAATCATTCCCAAGGTTTATAAAGTGCTGCTGTTCTGTCTGAGGTCAAGAAAAAGCTGTTACAGTTGAAGGGGATTGGATGAGAGTTCTGGAAGGAGTGAAGGAAGACAAACTCAATACAGTGTGGCAGTTGAATAATTTTTGTTGTACTATGTATTTGTTTTAACCTTTTTCAACTTTTCTTTTTCAATAACTTTGTTAATACTGTTTACCAACCAAGTACTGTGTCAGACAATTGTTTGTGATGATCTGTGAGGAGATTGACTACTGGTTAAACAGTGCCAGGTGTGCAGGGACTCATTCATGCCTTCTCACAGGGAGTCAGCTCAGGTGTATGGGTTGTACCTCAGATTTTTGGTTCCAGGAGAGCAAGTCAAATGCGTCCTAATAGTTCCAAGCTAGGCCTGGTCCAGGAACACTGATGCTAGACCTAAATGAATCACCAAGAATCTTCAGAAAGAATGTCACAGTTCATGCTTTGACTCCTTTTTGAAGTTTGGATATTGAATTAAATTCTTATTTTATTTAATGAATCAGCCAGCAATGTTGTTTCTCTAGGCTTTTATTCCTTCAACTAAAATTAAGGCCTGGTTACCCAACTAACTAACACTGTCATGAGAACTAGAGCTGTGTACAAACAAACCAAGATAAATGGAGTGCATCTTCCTCCTTCCTCAAGCAAGTTTCCTGTTTTCCAGTGCTACAGCTCATTACCACATAGTTTGTCAGAAGCTGAAACCACTTCTTAAGTGATTGTGTGTAAATAAATCAAGAGTACACATTCTTGGTTGTTTTTTTTAAAAACCTAACTATGAACCCGTGTGTGCAAGTGGCTGTGCATGTGATTGATGACGTTGATGTCACTAGAAAAAACATGTTTTATTACTGAACCAAGTCCATTTCTACTGTGTGTTCTGCAAGGGTCTAACTTTTCTACAGCTGACATCTCAGCTGGGTGCTGCCACTTGCCACGTAACTTTTGCTCAGGAAGAACTAACCTCAGAGTTCCACATTAAAGAAAGCTTAACTTACAGCACACTTTGAAAGTAGCTTTTAAATACAGGGCTCTTCCCCTGCAGGGTTTCAGAATGTGAGTCCTCTGCCTCAGTGACTGCCCAGCACGTGAACATATACTGACCATTCTCTGTGTTCTTTTTTATATTGTTCTTCTGACCTCAAAGCCAAAGATTGCCAGTTATTGCACAACAAGCCAGTCTTGCTTAGAGAAACTACAATTATTGTGATAACTGGGAACACCTCCTTTGGGGGAAAGGGTGTGAGATGAGATGTTTGGAATTGTTTTAGCAAGGTTTAGCAGCTTGGGGGCTGTGACAACAATACAGTTGTCTGTATGGCTATAGGGATGCCAAGTCTATAGGATACAAAAAATGGGATGGAACATATGCCAACATGTGTAACCCATCTTATATTAACTGAAAACTATTGGGATTTTCAGCATAAGTTATATACAAGTGCATTCCAGAAAATAGTGAAATGTACTTGATTATCAATTTGATGAATGGAAAGGCCTCCCAGAGCATATCACCCGGGCCTTTCTGCCAATAAGAAATTTTTCCAGCTACTTGAGATCAGCAAAGATATTTATTAGACTTTAGTGCCTAAAGAATTAGTTTAGGTTCAGAGGTTTTTGTTTGTTTTTTAAACTAAAGGGTATGTTGTGTTGGCAGCTAAGGTTCTAAACTCCGATACTGTCTATAGGGAGGTCAATTTAAATAGTTCAAACCAGAACTAATACACAGTTACTTTTGGTTCAGTACTTACCCCCTCTTTAGGGAAGGGAAAAGGATTTGCCCTTGCTCGTTTAATTGCTTAACAAATGTTGTTAATACAGAAAGTTACACAAAGATGAGAACTCATCAGGAGATTTGTCTTTTATCCAAAAAAAATTCTTAGTACAAACAATTTTCAGCTTTCAAGCAGCAAATTAATACTAGCAACTACACTAGAATTCTTGCCAGAAGGACTGAACAGCAATTACTGTTTTGGCTGTTAAATCTTAATGTAAACAATGAGAAATCTTTTCATGCATCTGCCTTTTGCAACAGGATGTTAAATTGCAGTTTAGGTGAGTAATGAATCACAGACTTCTGAGCCCTAAAATGATTTTTACCAGTAAGTTTTCTTGTTAACCTCTGAATATTGTCTTACTGAAGAAACTTAGCATACTGGAGTTCCAGGTGACAAGTAGACACAGACTCTCTAAAATATAAAGAACAAGATCTATGAAAATATGGTCTCAGAGAGGAGAATGTGACCGTACTTGGGGACAAGTGAGTGTTTGATTGCTGAGAACTCCTTGCAGCTGAGTCACAGCTCCACATGCCTTTCTCCTTCCTTCAAGCACAGTCTCTGTTTTAAGAGAGCTTTTCTTTGGGGGGAAGGGGAGGTTGGGCTTAACTACAGATCTTAATTTAGGGTTGAAAGAAGAGTGGGGGAGGAGGAAATAGTGCTTTTCTACAATGATGGGTTTATGTGCTCCAAGACAGCAGCAGCAGCGCTTTGGGCTTCAGTTCCCGGAAAAGACAAGGCTTTCTTCTGCTTCATTAACAATTTATTAAATGTGGCTGCACCAAGAGGCAGTGTGTGGATTTAAGTGATGGAACAGGAAGGTAACTCTATTGTTTTAATTATTCAATCACAGTGAGATGAAGAATGAAGTATTAAATACGTCACATGGTCTTTAGCTTCTCCCACAGAGCTGCTCTGGCTGGAGGCAGTTGCTCTGTGTTTATGGTATGACCGGAAAAGAGCCATCCTACCAATTCCAATTAGAAAAGACCTTTCATGGTTTCCTGAAACAGGCAGACTCCTCTCCCTGCTCCTGAGCCAGCTGCAGAGCCTGGGGAGCTTGTGAACTGTTTACAACTGACTCTAGCAATGCCAGACTATGCCAGGATTCTTCCACCAGTAGACAAAGACACTTCTGACCCCAAACCTGAAGCTAAACAATGACCAAATGTTTGTCTGGAAGTACAATAGCAACTGTTCATCCCAGTCATAGAGCTGCTATGAACAACTTTATAGATTTACAACCAAAAGGCTTTTATGATGCAGCAGAACATGATGAACTTAGTAGTACAGCAGGGTAGCTAATGCTAGCTGAGCCACTTGCTGGAATGGCTTTGGCCCGATCTGTTAATCTACACAGGGGGAAAAAAAAAAAATGGGAAAAAAAATGTGCCTCACCAATTAAGCTGCTTCTGTAATCTTAGAATGTCTTTCTTCCTGTGTAAGACCACAAAATTTCCATGTTGACTCTCAAAGACCCATCTTGCTTTAAAATAATTAGACAAATCTCTGCAAGACACCCAGTTGTGAACCAGCACTTTGATGCAAAGTCTAATTACCAGGGCACGTTTAGGATTACCATAGCAATGGTGTTAGTTTCTTTATGCAGGACTGAGTTGTTTCTTAAAATAAACTGTTGTCATTTTTCCCCACCTATTGCTTATTTTTATATTTTCTGTTAATATTATCAAAAAAGTTTCCCTTGCCCCAGTTCAGTTTTAGAAATGTGATTGAAAAAAGAGTATATTTTGTTTCTGGTGCTGGTGTTTAACCTGCCTTGAGCTGTTGCCAGATTGTAAGAGATGAGGGGTGTGCTCCCACGGGGTGAGTTCAGATGGATACAGTTGCTGTTCTGAACACGGTCCCAGGCTGTAGTGTCACACAAGGCAAATCCCTTCCTCTCTTTGTTCAACATAAGCACTGTTTGTCTCTTGCTGTAAAGAATTTGTGTAAGTATTTGCTCCTTATGTTTCTTTACTACTTGATCACTGCTGTGAAGTCGCTGCTTCACGATGGCTTTGCAACAAAGCCTGAACTGGTGCATTGTAGAGAGGACACTTACCAGCAGCAGTGCTGATTGGACTGCTGGGCAGGAACAGAGCTTTCAAACAAAAGAGCTTGGGAAAAGCGAAGAAAATAAGTGACAAGCATTCATCTGACTTTGCACTTGTATCCTAATATGTTAGTTTAGAAATAGAAATCCAGGTGAAGATGACTAGAATAAGAGATATTTCTCATTACTTAAGCTAGCTTGCTGAAAGCAAACACATGCAAGTAGGAGCAGGTGGCATTTGCACATTTTATTTACATGATTGTGACTACCTCAGTTGCTCAGCTGGATTTCCTGTGTACCAGTTATTGTCCCTTTCTGCCCAGCGTGTGCATGTGCAAAACACCCAGCAAAACAAAATCCATTGCTGGGGGAATCTAGGAAAGGTAGAAGGCTTTTTGAAAAGGTGTGTTTAGCATGTGGGTACAAACCACATGCTTCAACTTGTCCAAACTTCTCCTGTTTGTTCTCTGGGGAATTAGAGTACAATCCTGCATTGGAGGCAAGAGGAAGATACTGTTTTTCTTGGAAAACTGACCATCTTCTGCCTTTGTCTTGTCATGCCAGGGGCTCAGCTTGTGTTTAGCCAACAATGAAGTTGTTACTTCTGCTTCTTGTTAAATACTATGCGTTTTATCTATTCTAACATCTCTATATAGATACCATTTTCTAAAAGGATGTCCTTTTGTTGCCTTCTCCTTTTATAGGTGGTAGCAAGATTCATTTTCTAGAGCCAGAAAGCATGTATGATACATATTTATAGATTTGATTAAATGTCATACCCTATGTGTATTTAAATAATAGCTGTTTAGAACTCTTTGCAGTGGTCAGTCAGGCCTGGAGAACTGTAGTTTTGAAAGTGAATTAATGATGTTATGTCATATGACATCATGCTGAGGTTTTTTGCAGGCAAAATGACTGTGCAGTTGTGTGCTTCAGGTGGAGCTGCTTGGTTTGCAGGTGCAAACAGTTGCAAGGATGAATTCGATTTTTTGTTTGTTTTTTTTAAATATCACTATACAGATTTAGAAAGGGATTTTTAATAATTACAAATGAACAGTTTGGCCTTCATTGTGTCTTTCAGTACTCTCAGAAACTACGGGGTTATAATATTGTTGATTGTTTATAGAGCTATAGCTGCATCAAAAATGACCAGAACTGAAACCTCTAAGCACACAGGCATGTGTCTGCAGCCACTGGGCTTCACTGGGGCTGCCTGACCAACTGTTCAGAAGCAGCATGGTGATCTGTTTCCAACCCCAAAGTTTGACAGTAACTACATGACAATTCAGATTTTTTAAATTTATGCTAAGAGCCTTAATATTCAACAAACTGCACAGATTTCCCCAGCACTTACCTTAAATCAGTAGACAAATCAGTAGAGCTGGACTGCGTAGTTGGGCACAATTCCATGGAAGCTTTTCCTCTGTCTCACAGGCAATGTGTTCTGTCTCCTTTTCATTGCAGGCAAACTGAAGGATCTTGGCAATTTGGTTCTCCGCCCCTTTGGCCTATCAACAGAAAATTTCCAGATAAAACAAGATTCATCAACTGGTTCATACTCCATCAATTTTGTTCAAAATCCAAACAACAACAGATAACATGAATTCAGTCTAGTTCTGCTGGCTTTCAGGCTTCCTGACCATGTGCTTGCACCTACCAAGAAAAAGATTCAGCAAATATTCTTCACACTCCCCAGGTGAAGATTAGACTCAAGCACATTTATTTCCTTGCTTGTGAAATTATTTACAATGTGGATGTGAAGCAAGTCATTTGACTTCTCTTAGTGATAACTATGTCCAGTGTGTGGTTTTATTTTTCTTATTTTATTTTTCTTCCCTTGTGGTGTTTGGCTTACCCAACAGTCAGGCTCATTATTTTGGCCCATTTGGTGCTGGCAACAAAATTCTAGAGAAGAATTCAGTTGAATCAAAATGCTCAAGCACCTGTAGCCAAGAACAAAGCCTAATGCTGTCTTGGGGAATTAATGAATCTAGCAGAAGAACTTCTCCACACGCTTAGCAGGTGGATCTGACTGACATGCATGGAAGCAAGTCAACTTCTTCTGTGGAATAATTTTTCTTTGTAATAAAGGCTTGGTATTTCTGTTGGTTTGGTTTGTGAAGTTTTTGCCTTACTTGAGTCCTTCCCATGGTGGTATTGTTGTTAAAAGTGCCACCCACAGATATACTTACAGGACATTAATTTGAAGCATTTGATTGTTTTGTCTTGCTTATAGCAAGATCAGGAAACTAACCTCGAGCCACCTTTACACCACAGTTTGTTTACTTGTCATTATTTTTTCTGAAGGCCACAAGGAAGCTTTATGCCTATATATGTACACTTTGTAATGGTACCATAAATTAGTTAAATTTGCTTGTCTGAGATTTATTCATATTACAGACATCCCCTACTGGCAAACAAATAAGTGATGTTAAAGTTGATCAGAGAAGATCTTCATAGAAGACTTTGAAGTATCTATACATACAGGGGCTGTTGAAGCAGGTCACTCAGATTTTGGAGAATGGGTGTCTTTTGTAATTAGTACTTATTGGTTTCTCTATCAATGCTGGAATGTTTACATTGGAGGCAGATTTTTCTGTTGTCTCTATGCAGATTTCAGTACATTATTTAATCGTTAGTGGTGTCCATCTGTCAGCTATTGGTTGTTATCTGGAATTTATTTCAGAGAGTCTCTGTGTGTGTACTTAAGGACTGAAATTATAGAGCTCTAGTCTTTACACTAATAAGCCTGAAAGGAATAGTCTCTCAAGCTACAGTGTTCTTGGTGCTTTATTTTCATGTTGGTCTCTGCAGTTGTGAAGGGGATTTTTGATTGTTGTCTAACTCTGTCCTGCTGCATTTTTAGTTTTGTCTTCATGGTACCTGTTTGTTGATAAACTATCTCAAGCCTGCAGTGAGTGTGTATTAGGTCTATAGAATTAAATGTCATTGTCAAGAGAAGAGCTCTAATTCACAGTGAGGCCTGTGCAACCTTTAACATCTGCTGCATAATTCAAATGTCACTTCAGTAAATAAAAGCAAACAGCCTCTAGGATTTCCACGTGCTGAAACTGTAACTGTGCCATGCTTTACTGGAGTAAAGTTTCTAATGTGCAAGGCTGAATTTCCTTTACTGATAAAGGCTGTGCAAAGGGGTGGGTGTGGGGCTGGGAGGTTTGGAAGAGAGATTTTGCTTCTGGGAGCAGCCAGAGTGCAGCTGCAGGGGCTGGAGCAGAGTTTGCCAGCCCAGGGCAGAGGGCTGAGCTCACCCCAGCACTGGGGGGAGCTGGGAATGTTCTGAAACTGTGCTGCTCACACCCAAGAGGCTGCGTGGGTCCAATCAAATCATTAGCTGCAAAATCACTCTGCTATCTGAACTGAGCTCTTCAGATTCAGGGGGGGCTTTCTGGGTTGGGCAGTGCTGGGACTAGTATAAATGCTAATAATCTTTCCTGAAACCTGGAAGGCTACAGAGAAGCAGTGTCCAAGCTGCTTCAGAGAAGCCCTGGGCAGAAGCAGTGCTGGACAGAAGCTCATAAACTTGGCTTGTGCCCACACTGAGGCACTCAGGGACATCTGAATCACACTTCCCTAGAGCTCCTCACTCAGCACGGGATGGGCAGAGGTGTCAGTCCTTGCTGTTGTAGGCTCCATGCTGCTTGAGAGTGGAACCGAGTGGCAGGCCCTGGAAGCAGTACCATCCATCTGGAGTTGGGGTAGCTAACTTTCTACAGGGGCTGAAGCGGGGGCGGGGGCGGGG